GGGAGGGGAGGGGAGGGGAGGGGAGGGGAGGGGAGGGGAAGGGGAAGGGGAGGATGAGGGGAGGGGAGGGGAGAGGGATCTAGGAAGCAAGTGGTTGAGGACGGTGGAATGCTGGCTCCTGACGTTGCTTCTGCTAGAATGAACCTTCCCAGCCATGGTTTGCGGGAGGTCTCGTTCAAGGACGGGACGACGATCGAGATCGGATTTCCTGACAACCGCATCAACAATCTCTTCTGGGGGGACATGCACCATGAAGTTCTTGGCTCTCAGCTCTTCGTCGATGCTCGCAACGGCCTGCGGGCGAGGTTGCAGTTCAGCCCGCCGGGGAGGAAGGGACTCCCCTCGGACTACTTCGAGGGCGTCATCGAGCGGTTCGACCCGGCCAAGCCCCGAGGAGGAGGGGCAGGTGGTGTCGACGATCGAGGGGTCGTGGGTTGGCTTCTGCGACTTTGACAAGGTGAGAGGAGTGGGTGTGAGGAGGAGAGGGGGGGAGGGGGCGGGGGGGGGAGGAGGGAGGATGGATGGCGAGGGGTTGGGGGGGATGGGGGACTAGGAGGGGAGAGGAGCAGAAGCGGAGGGGCGGGGAGAGGAAGGGAAGTGTGATGGAGAGAGGGCAGTAACGTGAGGAGCAGGTGAGGTATTGGGACTTCCGTACCTTCAGCAAGGCTACTTCCTCCTCACCTCCTGCTCTCCTCCCGTCGGACTCTCGGCTCCGCCCTGACCGCAATGCGCTCGTGGAGAAGAATATCAAGCTGGCGCAGGCCGAGAAGCTCCGGCTGGAGGAGGAGCAGCGGCAGCAGAGGAAGCTGCGTGAGCAGAAGAAGTGAAGTAGTCGGAGGAGGAGGAACCAAACTTGTGTGATAATATTATATGTTCGCTCGCTGTAGAATGTCTCTATAGAGTCTCATGCTCTCGCTAGCCTGCAAACGAACTTGCCGCAAGGACGCACGGGCGGCCTCGAGCGGGGAGGCGGAGGAGGAGGAGACGTCGTGGTAGCAACCGGGGAAGGAGGTAGACTCGTCGATCTGTAGCGAG